CAAACCACCCTAATCAATGTCCATTAAAAATAGAAAACAAAAATATGTTCAGAAAAATAATTTTTCTTTGTGTTTCTGCTGCACATATATAACATTGTGAAATTGTTATCTTGAGGAATGGGGATGGTCTTACCATATGGCGAATGACAAGTCTAAGGAAGAGTCGCATACTGTCTGTCGGGGTATCTGGGACTCTTTTCATGACAGGACACTCCATCTTATGTAGCTTCCAGTCCTTTTTCTGGAAGTGAAAAAAAAACAATACTTTCTAAGAGAACTTGAACTGATGGAAGACTCTGTAAGATATTTTTAGAGCATCTGAGCAGAAAAATAAGAGGTGAGCCATGATCAAATGATAACCAGTAAAAGATAATATCAGAAATGAACAAGAAAGCAATGATTTCGAAAAGGAAAAAAATCATGAGGATGACAAAAACACTTCAATTAATTTCTTGACTTTCTTCTCAAACATTGTACTCACAGACAAATATTGCTTTCTAAAACTGGCTTTTAAACGCACATACACACATACATAGACACACACAGACATACACACACACACACACGCCTTTAGCATTTTTATATTACTCTTGATATGTACACTCAATAAAATTTTTACCTGACAAGGAACTCCGCAGTACCACGTCTTCTTGCAAGAGGCACATTTTTTCAAGGTATCAGAACTTCAAAGGAGAGAAATAAAAATGACATCCGTTATTTAATTAGCTCTGCCCATCAAAGATAAAAACAGGGTTGCTTGTTGTATGATTGAAAAGCAATGTTTATCGTGGCTGCAAATCTGGACTATTGACAGCAAAAATAAAATAAAAGCACAACAATTGAAGAAATGTGGTTTCTTCACAGATTGTTGAGAATTTCATGGAAGACAAAAAAATCAGTTCAGTAATAAGTACCAGTTGAAAGCAATTTAGTTCATGTGAGCCATTCATTAAATATGATTTTAATACGTAAATAATTTACAGAGGTGTTATTATAATGCAGTTTCTGAGACACAAACTGATCAGAAAAGCCTAGAATCTTGCTCTCATGATGTGAAAGGTCCCCAAAGAAACAAGGCTGGGGTTGAACCAGAGCAGTTTACTTGCAAATTCAACTCCTGAACAGATGGGTGTGACGGAAAAAGACCAGGATTATTTGAATTAAAGGGTAAAGAGGTTTTTTCCAGAACATATTAATAGCAAAAAAATGAACGGAAAACCATAATGGCACTTACACTACCCATTGTTTTAGTTGGCACTTGATGATTATGATGATACTGCCAGTTTTAACACACACTCTAGAACATACCGGTGCCAATTGGGGGATCGACAAACCAATCGCGACCTAAAAACAAATTTTTGAGGCAGCGAGTCAGTCAGACAATCAGTTTGTGCCACGATGGTCACTTTGTGCCCTCAGTCTGGCTATCAAACCGAACTGCCCCGATCGTGCCAATGGGAACCCCATTAGAATTTAAACAAAATTCAGGAGCTAGGGTACTTTGACCCAGCCTGTCAGGACCAATCCCGCATGAGAGGGGGCCCCACCACCACCCCAGCAGCAAGACAGAAAATGAGAGAAAGACCCTCATGACAGGTGTACTGAACCACACCATGATCTCCTGCAAGCCTGCAAAGAGCCTACCATTGCACTTACAAAAAAGGGGAAAAAAAGATTATCGAACTGTTTTGTGCAGCTTACAATACAAGTGGGTGTTTCAGTCAGTGGCTTCATTTTGTGGTGAGTACCTCTGGCAGCTAAATCTAGTCTAGCATCTAGTTCACACAGTGATGTTGCAGGGACAATTTATATACGAAGCGTATACAGACCCGGTAACCGGGAACAAAGTCTCGAAGTATACAGACCCGG